GAGAAGGAGCAAATGAATATGCATTGCTGGTAGAGAAAATATCAAACATGGTGTCAGGAAGACCTGGATGATTCCCATTTCAGTTCTGCTAAGTACTCATCAGTTGAAATGGGATGTCTGTGGATCTTTCTCACGTTGTCTTATCTATAGAGTGGGGTGGAGCGCTAATGTCTTTCCATCTATAAGTCACCAAGGGGAGTTAACATTTGGCTCTGCTTCATTCCGAGATACCATATTACACAGGTGTTAGATTTCAAGGAGCCAACATTCCATCAATCCATATGGCAAAGCTTTGCTGACCTAGTAGTACTAACTCGATACCTCTTTGTGTTTGTGCATGCGTGGAGAACAGAAAAGGGAACTAGGTGTTTTCCTCCATCACTCTGCCTTTTTCTCTAGAGAAAGAATCTGTCAGTGAACCTGGAGCTTACTGACTTTCTGCTTGGTGGTTACCTGCGATCGCCTCCAGTCCTGTTGTCCCCGCTTGCCTGTACCCTGTGCTGGGTCATAGGCATGAGCAGCCACACACATCTTTTTTATATGGAGATCCAAACTCAGGTCCTCCTGCTTGTGTAACAGGTGTTCTTACCCACTGATCTGTCTTCTCAGTCCCAACACCTCTTGCTTTAATGAACATTTCCTTGGTTTCTAATGAGACTAAATACATCTTTGTGTGCTTGCTGTGAATTGTCTTTCCCTACCCCTGTCAGTGTGTCTGTAGAGTTCTCTATTTTCCTTCTGGTTTTCAGCAGTCTCTTACACTTTCTGGATAACCTATGAATAGTAATCCATGGGTTAGATTTAGAGGTGGCCTTGGAGATATATAACCTCCTAACTCCCTCATTTGAGGAGAATGAATCCAAACACTGAAGCTCATATACAGGAGAAAAGCTGAAGCTTGAACTCAGAGTTCTTTTACCGTATCTTATGAAGCAGAGACCTTTTCGCAAGGCGGGAATTGCAGTAAGCAGTAAGCAGGATGGCTGGGCATTGCTGATCCCTCCGTCTGTTATTCTTTTTAGGTCAAAGGGCCATTTGGCTTGACCAGTTGGTTGGGGCCTACCATGGACCAAAGAAGCTTTTGCAGCCTGTGAAACCCAGAGTCTTGTTATCCTCTCACACAAGTCTTTCTCAAAGACTGAAGAACATCGTAGAATATGCATTGATGACTACCCCATCTGAGGGCCTAAAGGACCTGAAGAACCCTGGTACAGATGGGCTGTGGGCTTTACTTGGAGAAACACTTCAGAAAAAACGTTTCATAAAGCTGCCCGATCAGTCTTCTGTCCCCACCTTCTTCGTGAATCCCATTCATCTTCCAAGCTGCCCAAGAGAACTACAGGTGGTCCCCACACACCTACCTTCATTGTACTTCCAAGCTTTCCCTCTTGACATCCAACTAAAATGGTTCCTCCTGCATAAAATTCTGTGATCTTCCAAGATCTCTGTGAAACATGACCTCCTGTACAAAAGACCCCATTCATTTTTCTGGGACTTAAGTTCAGGGCCCAAGTGCCAGTGAAGTGCAGTGGGTAGTGTGAGCATGGGCACGCTGTCTTTTGGAGTCATGATGGCTGTCCCTGGGGAAGGTGGGTAAAGATATCTCTTGGAGGACAAGAATTTTCTAGACCACGTCATCTGTTCTTTTTATTTTTAATCATCCATTTGTATTGGGCATACACGCACCTCTTTATTTAGAAAGCAGCAGCTGTACACCAGTAGTCATGAAAACAGCAGTCTTCCACCCTGTTCCATGCATGCCCCCCCCTTCATGAGAGACAGACACCTGAAACCCACTGGACTGACCCTTGATATCTCCAAAAGACACTCATTGCTCCTATGTAGCTTTCCAATTTCAGATACTGTCTGTTGACTCCACTGAGAAGGAGCAGTTAGCTCTGTCTTGCTTCTGAGTCTCTTCCACACATGTCCTTTCTCTTCCCCACATTGTATGGATTTTATCCCAGTGTTTGTTTTTATTTTGTGCCTCCGGGATGCGGTGAGACTCTGTCTTAGTGACTTGTGTTACCAGCCACCTGGCAGTCCGAATCTGAACTTTGGGCGCCCTTGTTTTTCCTAATCTTCCCTCCAGTAGCTCTTCCCCATCTTCATGTTTAGCCACTCATCAAAGTCTGTAACTGTATTTCTGGTCTTATTTTTTAAATGGCTCCAGTTCCCTCTGTCTCCATGGCTCCGGCCCTTGGTTGGTTTCCCTGGTGTTCCCTGTGGAAGATGCAGCGCTGCTGGTGTCACAGCTTCTTAGGCCTCACTCATCTTTCCTTACCCGACAGCCAGGGCGAGTGGAGTGAGTCGTCCCCCATGCCCCGCCGCCGCTCCTTCTCCTCTTCTTTTTGCAGGGATGGGAATTAAACGCAGTATGCCAGGCGAACGCTCCAGCCCCAGAATGAGCTCTTCAGAGCAAAAACGAATTAAATATGATTTTTGTGAATAAAATTCTCGAGTGTATTTCAGGAGGAAATTCAAATTCCTTATCTTGGTGAGGTAGAGACAGTTTTGCTGTTGTTGTTTGTTTTGTTTTGTTTTTTGTTACCATACCATTTTGTCTTCCTGGCATATACTTTTCCTTACAGTAAGGATGGGGTGGCCATATAAAAAAGTGAGTAGAAGTTACATGTGTCATTAACTGCTTAGGCCCAGAGATGTACCTTTGTTTTCTTTTTCCAAGGCTCATGTTCTAGATAGGGGTGCCTGTCTCCCACTCAGCACTCTCTTGCCTGTGTCTCCGCCAAGGAGTAGCAGAACCCTCATGGCCCGTGGCCTTCTCAGGGTTAGATCAGCTGCTCAGTTCACTCTGGAGCATGATCTTCACGGAGAAACTGTTGTGAAAAACTGCACTTCCATGTCTTCTGTCAAGACTTTCTTGGTAGTCCAAATTCCTGAGATAGTATTGATTAATAGTTTGGTACTGGGGGTGTATATGTTCTAAATATATGGTATGAAATTCTCAAAGGATTAAACACTGAAAAATATCTTGGAGAAAACTATATATAATCAGATAGAGCTGGTTTGACTTCTGGCCTTGTTAGCTGTTTAACATTTAGCAAGCAATTTTACCTCTTAAGTCTCAATTTCATACTGTAATTGAGTAATACTGACCCCATAAGATTCTAATGATTATATATATATATGTATGTATCTATATATATGTCTATATACATGTGTATATACTCACACTTAAAATAATGTCTGGCTTCTAGAACTACCTAATGTATGTTAGATATAATTATTATTATCATAAAAATGTTCTAAATGCCAGTGTGGTACTCTGCATTGGATCATAGAACAGAAAAAGGGCATTAGGAGAAAACTGGTAAACTCCAGGTAAGTTCGGAATTTAATTAAGAGTGATATTCCTGCTGGGCTGTGGTGGCAGAGGTAGGTGAATCTCTGTGAGTTCAAGGCCATCCTGGTCTACAGAGCAAGTTCTAGGATAGCCAGGGCCACACAGAGAAACTCTGTCTCAAAAAACAAAACAAAAGAGTGCTATTCCAATGCTTGTTAGTTTTGACAAATATACCATTGTAATATGAGGTGGCATTAGTAGAAGCTGGATGAGGTACATATGGGGACTTATTTCAAGTTGTCTGTAAGTCTGAAGTTGTTCCACAACACAAATATTTACTAAAATAGATTTTCGTAATTGGTATTCATTTTATTCTCACAGTTTCCCTGTGATTTATATCATATACAGAGGAAGAAACTGAGGCACCGTACAGGAGTTGAATAGCTCGTCCATGGTCACGCCTCACTTGAGGATCACAAAGTAGGAATGATTGCTAGGCTGGGCTTTGAGTGGAATGCAGTGACTAACATTGAACCTCTGCTTTGTGTGAGGCACCATTGTGTGTACTGTGTCAGTAGAGAACAGAGGATAGTGAAAGAAGATGGTCTCTGAACTTCAGATCATTAGCATGAGTAGGAAGCCTGAATTTACATAGTAATTAAATACAAAACTGGACATAGGATCTCAGCTTCCATTCAAGGCCTATGCTCTAAATCCGTGCACTAAAGAAACCGAAGGAAGGTGGTGATTAGAGATTTAGAGGTAAGCGTAGGTCTAGTTGGGCTTTAGGGATGGCCACCTTCATGGGTGGGGACTATCATCTGAACCTTCGCCAGCAGTTTGATGTGATCTTGGTAGCGAGCCAAGAGAAACCTAGAATGTGTCTTTGGGCCTGCCTTGAGCTGTCCTGCTCTTCTACTCCCCTTCCCTTTACGTGTGCACCACTGCCAGCGGGGCCACACCTGGGTACCCTCTGCTGCCCTGCTGAGTGCTTCAGACAGGGCAGCAGTTCACAGAGCACAGGGGCACAGGGCAGCAGTGTTGGTGTCAGGCAGCCAACAGTTCAACAATTGCTCCACTTCTTAGCACACTTCCACAAACTGGAGTTTGCTACTGTGTGACTGAGTACCTCAGAAACACGAGGGTCACATTGACCACTTGACCCAGGATCGAATCAACCTAGTCATGAATGTGTACAGAGCTGGTTACAATGCTAGGCATTTGATAAGAATTCTGTTACTAGTAACCTCTGTGTACCTCATACCTCTGTTTGGCCAAGGCATTGTAACATAGTAATTATATCTAACTACATTAGATGATAAACCTTTAATTATGCTGCTAAGTGTTTGCCAACAGTGGTTAAATATGCCCAGTCCTCAGGTTCTCACCGGTAGGCTACACTAATCTCATCTGATCATTGAGATCATTATGAGATGGCATGTGAAGAAAACTCATGACCACACAGTACTTTTGACTTCTCTGCAGACTGTTTGCTCTTTAAGAAAGATTTTTAACTTCTTGGGTTTTTCATCTCTCTCCAGCGTTTGCTTTTGAGACACTGTAAGTAAATACAAGTCCACTTGCTTTTAGGGTGGGTTTCCTTGGCATTTAGAGGAATCTAACAATTTTTCTGGACTTTGTTTTACTCCATCCTGCTGAGCTTAAGGATGGTGGCTGGTGGAGCAGGAAGGGACCGGTCTCAGAAATGACCACCAAATATTTTATTTATTTTACTGGGAGGCTTCAATCTCCAAGACAGTGGTGGTGAGATGGGAGGGTGTGTGAGAAAGCAGGGAGCCAGAGCAGGGAAGGCACAATTGGTAGTGGTCTCTGGCAGCTAGATCAGCTGAGGGAATCGATTCTGGCTGAAGTAAGTGTTGCCTCGAAAAATCTGGCCGGCGACCCTACTCCCGGACTCGTCTTCGATATCATCCCCGGCCGACTTCCGACGAGCGTTCTGGTACAGCACAGCACACACACCTGTGAGCCAGGCGGCCACAGTGCCGGCAGCGAAGATGCAGAAGCCGACGAGCAGGAGGAAGATGTAGTCCTGCTGGTCCAGGTGTGTGATGCACTTGTACTGGAGTGGGTTCCCCACCTTTGTGATGGGCCACCCTTTCAGCTCAGTGGGCTCTGTGCACGTGGCACTCTGACCGTCTGTGAAGAGAAACACAGCAGGCAGTGTGCTGAAATGGCAGGCTCCCCAGTGTCCTCAGCCAAAAGGAAAGGTGTCTGGAGCTCACGGCTCAAAGTGTGGCCTATGGGCCAATGGCTTGGGTGTCGTCTAGACTTTGTTAGAAATGCAGAATCTCAGGCCCACACCAGCCTGTCTGAGTTATCTGCTCCTCAACAGGAGTCCCATGGTGTGTGGTGGTATACTAAAATTTGAAAAGTGCTGTGCCCGGGGCTGTGTCTTACTCCCAGGCTTAGCTGCATTCGGACCATGACAATGGCCTTTGCTTAAGACCCTCTTTAAGGGAAGGAGAGACTCCAACAGAAGGTTGGAAACTTAAGCATGGAATGTTGGAACTTTTGCACTAAGGTTTACCAGCTTCCCCCTTTCTCTCTCTTTTCAGTCTACCTTTCTCCATCTCTTGGTCCCCTTCTCTGTACTAGTTCCTGAGCCCGCTCAGGCACTACTTTATGGTTTGAATGTTAATTGTCTGCCTAAAAGACGCATATTTTGAAACCTTGGTTCCCAGCTGCTGTGCTGTTGAGTGACTGGATCGTGAGGGGTTAACCTTGTGAAAGGACTCATTAATCATCAATGACTTCACAGCAGAGGGCTGTTAGTAGGTGGGGCTTAGTTGGAGGAGGTAGGTCATTGAGGTGTGACTTTGAAGGTTGTATCTTTCCCCTGGACCCTTGCTCACTGTCTGCTCCCTGGCTACTGTGGGTGAACACCTTTGTTCCACTCTGTGATCTCTGCCTTGATATTCTGTTTGAATACAAGCTCACAGCAATGGGATCAAGCCACTGTAGGCTGAAGGCTCTGAAATAATGAGTCAGAGTCAATCTCCATACCTTTACAACTGTTTCTCTCAGGGATTTGGTCACATTGATGAAAAGCCAATTAACAGAGACCATTAATATTGCCCAAGAGAATCAGAAACCATTTACTTCAACTTTAGGGAGGGTCAAGATCCCTGGGAAGGTCTCTGGTATGTTCTTTGTATGGAAGTCTGGGAAACTCAGTGTAAAGACTTTGCCAGTAGGTGAAGCAGTTCTACTTCTTAGCAATGGTATTGGCACTCACCCGTTGGTTGCATGAATGACTTGAATATTCAGTCCCTTTTAGCAGCTGATGCAGCTCCCTGGATGCTTCTCTGCGTGCCTCCCCATATCTAGTACCATGTACTTCAGTATATAGCAGAAGGAAAAGAGGGCTCAAGCTATACAGAACAGGGATCCCATCCAAATCATCACCTGCTAGTCATGCAGACTTTTCAGGACACCTCATTCCCCACCTCACAGGCCCAGACCATGATGTCTGTTCTCAGGGTAGTTACCAGGATTGGCAGGCATGGGTGAGAAGACAGGCCACTGAGCCAGTCATGCACAATACTTGGAACTCTAGCCTCAGCTCCGTCCTTCTAGCTCTCTGTACTCTACCATGCTGATGCCGAGGTGTATGCTCAGGCACCCAAGTAAACGTACCCAGCATATTTATGATGAATAAAAAAGCTCCAGCTCAGAGTCAAGACCAGGGTTTGCAATGACCACAATTAATCATAATTGCAACTACTATTTTCTAAGCTTTTAGTATAGGCTGACCTATACATTTTATCTCGTGTAATGCTTGCAACCATCTTGATGCCTATAGTATTTTTTTTATCTTTAGTTTATAAACAAGGAGATGGAGACTTAGGAAGTTTCATGATTTGGAGGTTCTAGATAACTCAAAGGATCTAGCCAGGAGACTATAGACAGAAAACCAGGACTGAGCTGTTCCAGGCAGTGTAGAGACATGGGAACTATAACCAGAAGACGTAACAGAGAAGATTCTTCTAACTATAGAGTAGGAGCTGTGCAACTCTGTGGTAGCATCCATGTCCTTGGTGACAAGGAAGTTAGGGAAGTAGGGTTGGCTAGGAAATCCTAACAGAAGCTAGAGGCAGGAGAATTCTCGAGGAGTTGTCTGGAAGGATGCCAGGTGGGTGTGGGGGCCTGGAAAGAACAGTTGAAGGGTAGGAAAGTTACAACTGGGGTGTCAGCGGGTCATGGTGTTGCAGATGAGCTGTTGGAGGAGGTTGTAAACCTAGGAGAACCAAGACTGTACCATGTTCATTGCTTGCAGTGATCACTGAGGACAGGAGAGAGTGTGGCCAGGTATCCCTGTGGGCCACCCTGCTCCAGTTGCTCTTGTTCATGTTGAGGGAAAGGGGCTGTGGGCATGGAGGGGCTGAAAGACAGTCGTGGCTTGGCCTAACTGAAGGCTTCCTGGGCTCTGCGTGAGAGTTCAAGAGTGGAGCTAGGAGGAAGCTGCTGAAACTTCCAGGATTCCATCCAGACAGGATTCCCAGGTCACCTGCTCAAACTGCCAGAGAAAGACAGATTTGAAAAAGGAAAACGTGGGATTCTGAGGGTCGGAGCTGTGTCTAGGGGTTTATCTCATTCTATTTTTAAAAAGATTTGGCTTTCAAATTGGGGCTTGGGCGGCAGAGATGAGACTAAACATTAAACACACACTTCCCCATTTCAGAGCATTAACTTTGAAAGGAGCAATTAGGCAGTGATTTTAATGCATTGTTAGGCTGCTATGCGAGTGAGGGATGTGGGTGGTTCTGTGAGGAGGGAGGCTGGGGCTCTTCCACAGCTCCCCTATCTCCCTTCCCCCATCACATCACTGTCAAGGCTGAACTTCTCTCTCAGTCTCCCTGCTCTGTGCTTTCAAGTTCACCAGCTACGGTCCAGGTCACACGCAAACACCAGACTGCTTCCCCCAGGTTTAGCTTTTTCTAGACTCACATGATTTAAAATGTTCCTGTGATCCCCATTGTGGGCCTCAGGTTTTATATAAAACCCCCAGCGCCTGTCCTGGCTCCTCTCAGCACCTGCCCCCTTCATTCTTTCTTCCTGGCTGCACTCCTGGTGGCTCCCTTAGTCTCCAGCCTGAGTGTCTTAAGTTTGATCACATCTTGCCCTGGCTCTCATCTGCAGCGAGCTGTGTCACACAACTCATTGCATCCACAGCCTCTTTCTTCAGTCTTTGCCTGATCAAGCTCTTCCCATTCCATAAGAACTAACCTTAAAGTGTCTCTGCTCCTATGAGACCTCCCCCGGCCATTGGTCTCACAGGTCATAGGACATGCTGATGTTCCCTTCTGATCTCATCCACAGCCTTGCCCGGTATCATTATAGTGCACATGCCACAGTCTACCTGTGTGTGATGCTTGTTTCCATGACTGCCTTTTCTGTTCTACCAGAGGGAGTTTTAGCTCTTGAAGGTGTAAAGTATATCTGATCATGATTTTATTAATAAGAACTATTAGTCACTGCTATTTGTAAGTATTTGGAGATTTTTTAGTAAGTTTTAAAGACAATCGGATTCTAGTTAAATTGTTAAAGACAATTGGATTCTAGTTTAATTCTACTGTGGTTAGAAACATGTTCTGTCATTTTGAAAATCCTTAGAAATTTCCATTATGGCCTAGCATCAGGCCAATTTTAGTAAATTTTCTTTGTTCTGAAAAGTACATATTTTACTTAGATTGTGGTATTATAGAGATCTACACCTTGCTGACTTTTTTTTTTTTTTTTTTTTTGGTTTTTCAAGACAGGGTTTCTCTGTTTAGCTTTGCGCCTGTCCTGGATCTCACTCTGTAGCCCAAGCTGGCCTAGAACTCACAGAGATCTGCCTGCCTCTGCCTCCCGAGTGCTGGGACCAAAGGCATGCTCCACCACTGTCCTGCTTACCTTGCTGACTTTTAAATTTAATTTAAATTTTATCTTTGCTTGCCTGTGTGTATGTGTGTGTGTGTGTGTGTGTGTGTGTGTGTGTGTGTGTGTGTGTGTGTGTGTATGTGAAGGTAGAGGTCTTAATCTCCCCTTATATATTTTGAGACAGTCTCTCACTGAACCTGGAGCTCACTGTTTCTTCTGGGCTGGTCTGCCAACAAGCCTCAGGAATTCACTTGTCTCCACCCCTCCAGTACTGGGTTATAGAAATGGATGACCATGTCTGGCTTTTAACATGGCTGCTGGGGATCCAATCTCAGGTCCTCATCCCTGAATAGTAAGCCCTTTACCCACCAAGTCATCTCCCCAGTCTCTTTTGCTTATTGCTTGTTTTGTTTTGGTTTGGTTTTTTTGAGACAGTGTTTCTCTGTGTAGCTTTGGAGCCTATCCTGGAACTCCCTTTGTAGCCCAGGCTGGCTCCAAACTCACAGAGATCCTGCCTGCCTCTGCCTCCCCAGTGCTGGGATTAAAGGCATGTGCCACCACCGCCTGGCAATTTACTTCTTAATCTATAAATATAGATTGCCCCTGAGTTCTTGTTGGTCTATTGGTTGTCTATTTGTTCCTGTGGGAAGGAATTTTACCTTTTATAGATACATTCTTAACTCAAAACCCTCATATGAAAGTCAGCATTCCATTTAGATCTGTCATGCTCTAACCTATGTTGTTAAAAAGATGCACAGAAAGCTCTAGCTGTTGCCTTGCAGTTGTTGACCAACAGCTCCTTCTGTCATAAAGCTCCTTGCTGTAAAGAGCACCTTTGCCTTAGTGTAGCTGGACTGAATTCCTTTTAGCTAGTGTTTGCATTGCTTATCTTTCCCATTCTTTTAGTGTTTCAGTTTTCCCATGTTCAAGGGATATTTTTGTGTGCAACTTATAGCTGGGATTTTTTTCCCCACCCAAGCTATTAAACTTTGTCAGTCCATTGACACTTTGTATCTAGTAACTTACTTGTTTCCCATTTATTTCATTTATTTTATGTCCTATTTCTTCACTTTTTCGTCTTTTTGTTTATTATTTGAATCCATTTTCTTAGCTTGTTAGTAATATATTATTTTTCTAGTCTGATTTGGTGATTCAGAGATTACATACCTGTGTACTGATAGTGGGGTATTTGATGTGTGCCAGATAGCATATGAAGCATTTATAGAATTTAGCTGTAAAACCTACTCTGAACCAGTTTGGAGGGCAGATTTAAA